TGATCTTAATGAGGATTGGTATGACACTCCAAATTAGAGGATAGTATGGACCGGTTAGCATAGAGAATTAAGGGAATAGCAGCAACTATCTTACATATCGAGTAATGTCATTACTCGACCATTACTGTAATGGTCTTGGAGCATCCAAACATCGTACACCAACCACAGAATCCCATTGATGAGCATCATCAGGAACTGTGCTGATCCTGTAACGTGACTCTGAACTCGACAGAAAGGGGGAGAGAACGAGAGGCGAGGATAATGCGCAATCTAGCTTAAGAGGTGCACGCATATACATATGTGTGAATGCGAAGCTGTCTCCATTGTTGCGTACAACACGACTACAACAGGAATAAAATTGCAAAGATTATTCGAGTAGTAGGCAGCATAGTGTGCTTGACCAATATCTCACCACCTACTATTGTTCCCCTCAATACCAAACACGTGTTGAAGTTGGTATTGATTGTGATGATGATTCGGCCTGATCAGTCAAGCCATCTATACCTTTCAGAATCTATTTGGCGAATAAGGATACCAACTTAATACATAAGGAGGTCACATTCGCGCACAGGGACATCAATTTAGCGGTGGGGGTCAAATAGAGAAATCAATTTCGCGGATAATGAAATCGATTTCATAATGAAGGAATGCAATTTCACGGAGACCCTTTGTCGCGAGTCAAGAGCCAGGGCTTCGGGAGCGATCTTCCAGGAAAATCAATCCCGAGTTCAACACAATTTCAACCTCTATTTAACCATTAGAACCTTCAATTTCACCAGGCGAGCGAGTTCGTGACCCAAGATATGCCTTTTGAAACTCCAATTTCGACGGTGCACGGTTTAAGAGCTCCAATTACATCAACACGTTGGTTTAGGAAACTTCAATTTCATCAACACGTTGGTTTAAGAGCTCCAATTACATCAACACGTTGGTTTAGGAACTTAGATTTCGAGTCGAAAAAGGAGTTACTATCATGTCGAGATTTTCGACATGATAGTAACTCCTTTTCTGCACATAGGAACATGAACTTCGGTAGAAGTGTGCGATCGAACCGTAGCAATCCTAATTACTGGATCTGGAATTCAGAGAGACCATTGAAAAACGCTGTCCAAGATCTTCATAATGAGCTACCTCTCACTGGGAAACTCGTCGAATTTCGGATGCAGTTACAGATAATAACACATTTTATTTGGGGCACCCTGTATAAATTTGTTCGCAATTACTCTATAGACGTGCACCTGATTCTGGTCTATGTATCTACATGCGGTGAATTCGGTAGTTTTAGGTAGTGGTATCGGTAATAGTTTTGCATGATTGGCATTATCATGATTCCTCTGGATTATGGTTACCCGTAAGCTGTTGGTCCCTTTAACAGATGCACTACAGGTGCTAATCATTATCTCTTATTATACCTTACATTCATACTACTGCATTTCTAGTGGGTCGATCATCATGAGACACTAGGAAAACATGATAGTCTTGAGAAGTGTGCCGGCCTTGGGGAGGTGGACCTAGACTCGTAGGTATGATAATCACTACATTCCTACTGAGTGATACATACTTCCGGAGTATTATAGTCGGTAGTGGTATATTTAGTGTTGTAGTTGGAACAGTTGCTGTTGGGTATTACTATATACCACCCCGATCATCACTAAAATGACTCTCTAAATTTAGTGCTTCTTGCCTCTTCACATCCATGGTTTCACTGGTCTCATTATAATCAGGATCATGTTTCGCTGAGCTTGTTGTTAGGATACCAGCGGCTGGTCCATACGTAGGCCAGGCTTTGGTATGCCTTTCAAGAGATGTGCTATGAAGGTATACATTATTTTGAGGGTGGGGATCATATCTTAACACTTTAATCTGTGCTCTCGAAGGTAGTGTCATCCATTACTCTGCGAACTATCATACCCATACATCGCTACTCGTCTTATCCATAAGTATTGACTCATATTTACCTCTTCAGGTTATGCCCAACCATCCATAGTCTATGGCACCAGCACCGATGATGGAGGTCTAATACTATCATCCTCATAAATCTCTCACCAACCTCGTTAATCTGCCTCCCCCTTAGTAAGTGGCCCTTATCATCCCGCGTAGGCCTCCTCTACCCTGGGGTACCCTTCGTATCGTTATTGGATGAATTTATATCTGATCGCTTCATTGTGTATAGCAGGAATTATGTTCGTTACCAACACTCTTCTGTTCAGGTCATCGGCTGTGCTGCAGTAGGTGGGAGTACTCAATGCTTACTGTGCTCAGTAGGTAGGAGTACTACTACTACTACTACCTTAATTCCTCTTTCTCCTCGTCCTTGTCTATCTCTATAGGAGAGTCTTCCTCTTCATCACGTATACATTCCCTCGTCGTTTACCTCTATCTTCAACTAGGCATGATTTCTGTCTATGACCATGTTATTGTGTATCATCAATATTGATACCCGTTGGTCCTTGGTCCAGTTTTTTCTATCATACCCCGTTTGTAATGAGTATCGCCGCGGCCGGTGGTACAGGTGTATCGAAGCCTTCTGCTATAGGCCGAGGAAATGGGAGTAATATGACTATCATTATCAGTAGCAGTCTCGGTAATATGGTTGATGTAGGCTATGTATTACTATCCAAAATGCGAAGGCGTCAACCTCTGTCGGTAGTACTTGCTGAGGATCACAACAACACTGATGGAGAGGTATCTCATGGCTTAAAGAAATGTCTGGGACTAGCAGAGGTAATATCAACATGTATAGTCTTAATTATACCCTAGTAGGTAATATCCTTCGGAATAAGTACTACAGTTGGCAGTGGCATTTTTGTTACGGTTGGTATCATAGCGGTGAAGTAATATGACTATAGTTACTATCAACAATCCTCTTTTATCGTATTATCCTAGGTATAGTGGTCCTGCTCTATTTATGTCCTTCCTGGTTGCTATAGCTGGATCTCTTTTATCAGCCTTTTGTTATGCTGAGTTTGCTGCCAAGATACCAGTAGCTGGTCAGGCCTATACGTAATACTACTACTATTACCACTCCCTTGCCTATTCATTACTATCATCGTCTAACAGGTATAGCTACGTTTGTATTGGTGAG